ACCACTGGCATCCCGATATAAGAGCCCTATTTTTCCCACTGTTTAATTACATTTTTACATTTCCAAGTTCCCAAAAAATTCTGACAGTCACCTGTATCACACAATCGGACAGTGTCACGTTCTTAGAAAGATTTGCTTCCTCAGGATATATCAGGAAAATATCTATCATATCACAACATAATTAAAATGAATAAACATACCAGTATAAATATACTGACTATCCCCAATATTGCAACTTAAAAGGACACTAAACAGTATTTACAAAAACCTTATGCTGCTAGCATTAGTAAATAGACAGGAAAGTATTTTATAGTTACTTTTTTAAACTTTCTTTTTACATTTCTTTAGTTACTTTCTGGTTTCCATGCCTAGGTAAATTATGTCACATATCTAAGGAGTCTTCAGTAGGGGAGGAGGGGCTTTCTCAGCTAAGCACACCCTCCTGCCTGCATGCTTGAGCTAAGGGCAGATAGATTCCAGGAAGTAAATGCTACATGAATCATCTGCCCTTATTAAGATGGCCATAGCCAGAAATGCTAGGGGGTGTTTTTCAAAGTGATTTCTCAACAAAATAGAGCATGAAGACATGGATAGATGGGGGAGTTTGCTTTGAATATTAAAAATGAATTAAATAATGTTTTTTTGTTTGTGGTGCTCAGATGAAGTGTAGTTCCACTTTAATTACCCTGTAATCTATTTTCATGAATTTGCTTTTTACTGTGTTTTTCTTCCTCCTTAGCGTCCTCTGTAAGCCTCCGAATCTCTCCTTTCCCCCTCAGTTCCATTTGTTTGGAATGAGTAGTGCACATTATTTGCGTGCACTGCTCTTAGCACATTACAATTCTCATAATACAACGTTGTGATCAAAGCAGCAAAAACAAAGAAATTTGGAGGAGGCTGAGAGCAATAGATGGTACTTTTGGGAGTTAAAATACATACTTGGATAGAATGCTTTCCTTTTAAACCAGAATTTAGCTTCACTTTAATTGCACAGGCAAAATGTGTAGGAATGAGAGTGAAGAGCACAATATTGGGGATTTATTGGGGATATTCATTTTTTCTCAGCCCTGTATACTTAAGAATAAGAACATAGAAATATAAATAATGTGTAGAAGAATCTATATAATCCTCACTGGTAATAGTAAAAATAGCAAATTCTGATATTATACACCCGCTGCGCTGTCACTTTGAGTGTAGATAGAAAATAGAGAGAGAGAGAGAGAAAGATGTACATATAGATATATAGATACAGGATAGATATATAGATCGATGGATGGATGGATAGATGGATAGATAGATAGATAGATAGATAGATAGATAAATAGATAGATAGATAAAAATAGATACATGTGTCCTTTTTATGGCTATATGTCTATATGCGTCTTTATGAGTATGTGTGCATTTATCTTGTCTAAAAATTAAAAATAAGGATCAGTTTACGTCACATGCAATATCATTGAATATATGTTATATTAATTTATGTATGCTTTGACAGGTCTATGTTTTGGTTTACATACTTGTATTTATGGTCATTACTTTTTTTTTTTATTAAGCATGACTTCCAGTAGTTGGTTGGTTACATTATTAGAATTTCATGTCACTCACATGTCTGTTATTACAGAAATCCTCCCACAAAATTGACATAATCATAGCCATTCTACGACAAGTGAAGTGACAATTATTAATCTGCACTTAACTTCAACTGTTCAGTGTTTGCTGAGCAATTATTCTTTATGAGTTCTGTACATCACTGTAATATTTATGTCAGTATAATTTCACAGAACACGCCTTTGCTGGGTTGGATTCCATAGTGTTTAGGTGCTTTGTACACCACCTACTTTAGCAGTATAAATAGATGGCTACAGACACCTGAATTTCAAACTCGATTGGTACCTGCACAGGGTAAGTGGCCTTTCCTATGAACTCATCAACTTTTCAGATGATGCTCAACCAAATGCATTTTATCAATGCTTATGCTGAACAGGGCTTTCTAGCATATTGGAGCAATAGCTATTTTACATATTTGATTCTGCATGCAACTATATACACATAGAACTAACATTAAAAATATATATTCTATATGAATAATATGATTTATATATGTTTATATTTATATACCTTTTTTTATATATATATATATATATATATATATATATATATATATATATATACACACACACACACACTTTATAATACATATTTGTATGTATGTATGTATATATGTATGTAGGATATATACTGGATATATATATTTATTATGTAAGTTGTTACAGTTTTATATATATTTATTGGAGGTTTCTGTTTTATTTTATTGCTTGAGGTGTAATTCACAAAATAACAAATTGAATTACATGTGTATTAAAAAAAAACAACAACTCCATCCTAGCCCATACCTGTGTTGACAGTAATGATTTCATGAGGGTGTAAACTATTTAACAAGCAAAGCCTTACTAATCCCAGCACTTCAAAAACCGCAACATCAGCCAATAAACTAGGAAGCACTAGCTTACAAATGCTAGTAAAAACGTAGGGATTTTTCAGCCAGCTTGCAGTTTATGGCTTTCTCTTTGTTAAGTCGAAAACATAATTAGACAGCAATTATTAAAATCACATATAAATTCATAAAAATGCATGAGAACACAGATTCCCCAGACTGTAGAAGAAGAGCAAGCCACCCAATTACATGAGAATGTTCCATTCCAAGTCTGTATAAACCAGTGGCAAGCTAGACCAGTGTTTTCAACCTTTTTTCAGACAAGGCACCCTTTAAAGATCTGCACAATTTGCAGGCACCCTTTAAATTTCTCCAGAATCTTGAGGGTGAGGTGATTTTTCAACATGTGATCTGGCAGAAAAGTGTTTTTGTAGCAGATTTTATTTTGTAAGATGTTTCAGGCTGCTTGGCATACAAATTTCAAGACTGGTAAGTAATATTTTGCTGGAAAAGTGAAGACATTGGTGGCCCTGTCATATGGATGCTATCAATCATATGGTGATCCCATCATATGGATGATATCCATCATGCGGTGGTCCTGTTATATGGATATCAAACATATGGTTGTCGTGGCATATGGAAGATACCAGTTATATGGTGGTCCTGTCATATGGATGATATCAATCATATGGTAGTCCTGTCATATGGATTATTCCAATCATTTAGTGGTCCTGTCATATGGATAATACCAATCATATGGTGGTCCTGTCATATGGATAATACCAATAATTTAGTGTTCCTGACATATGGATAATACCAATCATATGGTGGTCCTGTCATATGGATAATACCAATAATTTAGTGGTCCTGTCATATGGATAATACCAATAATATGGTGGTCCTGTCATATGGATAATACCAATCATATGGTAGTCCTGTCATATGGATAATACCAATCATATGGTGGTCCTGTCATATGGATAATACCAATAATATGGTGGTCCTGCCATATGGATAATACCAATCATATGGTGGTCCTGTCATATGGATAATACCAATAATTTAGTGGTCCTGTCATATGGATAATACCAATAATATGGTGGTCCTGTCATATGGAAGATACCAATCATTTGGTGGTCCTGTCATATGTATGATATCAATCATATGGGGGGGGCCCTATCATATGAATGATATCAATCGTATGGTGGTGCTGTCATGTATCTACATGTTAGTTATGACCAAATGAGGAGAAAAAAAAATTCACATGCATCAAGAACTGAGAATATTGGGTCAATTCATTAAATGCTAATATTGGTTGATTCGCCATATTTAGACTTTTCATGTTTTTTGCTGTGCTTTCAAGCCTTTCATACAATTTTACAAAAATCTTGTCCTGACTATACAGCCTAATCAAAGTCCAAATTGGAAGTAATTAGATGCATTAGCAGATTTAGGTGAGCTTGAAAAACAAATTAAAGGCAAACTCCATCTTACTTTTGTTAAGCAGTTGCAGCAATAGTTTTTTATATTCCTTATTGGATAAAGGTTTTACATACATACAGAAATAAATGCTGACCATTGGAAGCACTGCTCTCAGTGTTCATTTCTGGTGGCAGATGAAAATTAACAAACATACTGGTAGGAACCAGGTGAAAACAAATGCAAAAAGCCTAAAAAATAAAACAAAGCTGCCACTTCTAAAAACTGGGAAACTGCAATATAATACATTGTTGTTTGGGGTGAATAATACTTCTTTAATCTAACTATACAATAAATCAACATTTGTTTGTAATAAATAGTCTCCAGTCACAATGAGTACTTACTCCACTTATTGCTGTCAATAACTGATTTAAATGGAATATATGAGGCACATTCTCACATCCTGTGCTCTCTTTTTATCAAATCTTTGAAATAAGAACTGTCTGTGTGTATATAACCAAACAGATTCGAACTTCTATTCTTTGACTTACTTCTACTGTTCAGATTTCAGTATAATTATTGTAAATTACCACTGGTATCTGTTTTTCACACCCTAAAAATAAATTAGGTCAAGAATTATTTCTAATTCCAGGGAGGTACCCATAAATTAAAGGGCACTGTTCTGCAGTGTGCTAAAGTTTGAGATTTTATTATGTTTTATGTGTTAATAGTTAAGAGGTTCCAACTGTTGCGCCATGCTTTCCAAAATCCAAAGGAGCTTCTTTTCTCTTCTTTTCTCTTTCAAATTTTTGCTCTATAATGGGCAAGAAAATGACTCATAGCATTTCTACATAAAACTCAACAATTTTATAAGCAGACAAATCCTGATCCTCCAGTAACTTTGGGCTGAATGGAAACAAAAGAATCAGAGAAAAAGTCTGGTATCACGGGGACAGGGTGTCTATTTGTCTGTTTGGAAGTGTTCTTTGTGCTCCATTGCTGTGCATATTCTACTTTGCTTTTCAAAGAAAATACAAGTTTAACAAAGGAAGTGTGGGCTAAAGAATTCATGTGTCTACAGCCTAAAGAGTTTCATCATGTGCGCACTGCTGTATTTTAACTTTAGTGACATTTTCCTGATTTATCTACAGGTTTTACTTTCTCGATCCTTAGAAGGAATCCATAAACCTTATCCACCACAATGGAAGGAGGTAGGAACACTGAATTGACAAAAATTGGCCCTGTGCATGATTTTGCTCACAGGAAATGTGTTCTTGTGGCCCTTAGCAACCAGTCAGTTTATATTTGTCTTTTTTTAAATACATTTAAATACATCACAACATGTTTCATATATTAAGACTAGTATTTTCATTTCAAACATTAATTTCTTGTTGTTTTTACTTCTAGCACCAAACTCATCCAAGAAGGTAAGAACATTGTAGTCATTTAATTGGGATTTTTAATATGTTTGAATATTTTTAGGGTATATGACAGTCAGTGTAATAGCCTTAGTTCAGAATTCATGTAGAGACAATGGAGATATGAAAGCACTGGAAAAGGTTAAAGCTCCGTAAGCAGTTATGTAATATATTGCAGCTTACCAGTCCTTAGATTGGTGGCTGCATTTATTTTCTTTTTTCAGGCTAAGTAGACTTTCTGAAAGTTAAAATCATTACTTGTTGATCCTGTCAGCAAATCTATTGCCCTTTTGACTTCCTCTCAGTAAACAAAAATGTCAAACCATGGTTTCAGTCATTTCAGCTATTTTTTGTTCACTGCAGAACACCTCCATTCTATGCTATGGAGATAATGAGAGGGGGAGGTGTTTGTAGTCTGATTCAGAAGAGCAGCCTAAGTTGACAATGATGCTCCTCCTTATCTACAGTGCAGATGTAAGCACTTTTAACCTAGGACAGGGAGTTTGTCACTGGCAGGATCATCAAGTGGAACTAAAGCAAAAATAATGCAGCCACCACATCTAGGGACTGCTAAGCTGTAATATATATTTGTTTTTCGGTTTATGTGTGCTTTAAGGATCCATTTGTGTTGTATATCTTTGACAATACAACAGTACATGGCCTTAATACAGCAGCTGAATGATAAAATGGCTGAACTATTGTGGCTGGCTTTCTTTTTTACCTCTATTTCTAACATCATTTCTAATAATAATGGCACGTTTAGCAAAACAGTAAGTTGTACTCTGTAACAATCAAATCTATCCCTCTTTTCTAATTTTAAATGTGATGTAATGTTTGTGAAATTTTTACTCTTGGGCAATAGACAAGGAAGAAGGATCAAAGAGACCATTAGAAAACCTTAGCTCATTTGTTTTAACTTCCCTGAACAATTGTACTGCAAGCATTAGTTTTTTTTTAGCATTTTTATATAACTGATATTGGTTAAGAACTCAAAGATAAAAGACACAGGATGTACTACCACCTAAAATGTAATTGCAAAGTAGAGAAGGTGCAGTGGCGCTGCTAGGGTTGGAGTCACCTGGTGTGGTAAAATATGGTGTCAACCCCCCCCAATAATGTTTTTCCCATATAACACCCACAGTGCTCTGTCCTGTCGCTGCAGAGTGACAGCAGGATAGAGCAGTAGACAGTGGGCAGGCAAGCACATCGGGATCCCTCCTGTTTAGCCTTCCTCAGTGCCCCGCAGGGTGCTGAGCAGGCTAGTTTCGCACTAGAGAGCACTAGGTACAGATCCACCCATCACCTCTCCTCAGCTATAATCTCTACACTACCCCCCCAACACAACACAACCCCCTCTCCTCTGTCCTCATCCCCCCCCCTTCCCCAAAGCTCCACCATCCTCCACATGATTACCTTCCTAAAGGCACCTTTCCGTAGCTGGCTCTACTACCTAGCACAGCCACAGCTCCCTTTTCATGTGCATACTCATTTAGAGTTCCCAAACTCCACAACCAGGTAGAAGATAGGGATCACAGTGCAGCTCACCCCGTAACCCCCCCCCCCACCCCCCTTTCTGCCTTTGAACAAGCTGCACTTGTCCCGCCACCTTCCTTGGCCAGCAATGTGTAAATGCCAGTTGTTTCCCTATGCACTGGTTGTTGCAGAGCTACTGAAATGCTTAACAATCCCACCTATCCCCGACATCACAGGTTGGATTTGACAGCTGTACTCTATCTCATTGTGGCTGCACACCCCTCCAAATTGCCCACCAATCCCTTGCTGTGCTGGATGTTCACTGGGTCCAAGGGCAGCACAGTGGCTAAATGGTTAGCACTTCCACCTGGCTGTACTAGGGTTGCTGGTTTGAATCCCAACCACGGCACCACCTGCCTGGAGTTTACATGTTCTCTCTCTGACTGCGTGGGTTTCCTCTGGGTACTCCAGTTTCCTTCTACACTCCAAAGACATGCTGGTAGGTTAATTGGCTCCTGTCTAAATTGGCCCTAGTATGTGTATGTATGAATGTGAGTTAAGGACGTTAGTTTGTACACCCCTTGAGGGTTAGGGACTGATGTGAATGTACAATATATATGTAAAGTGCTGCGTCAATTGATGGCACTATAGAAGTACCTGAAATAAATAAAATGCATGAAAGTCCCACCTAATCTGGGACTGTTGGGAGGTTTGTACATGATGGTGTCACCTCTCTGGCAGGTGTCACCCAGGTGTGATCCGAACCCCCATTATGACACTACTGAGACAATGTTATATGGCAGCTGGCTTCGAGCTGCTGCTTCATGAGAAAATATTTACTAATATTCATATTGTTAACCAGGAAAGAGAAGTTTTTCTGGTGTTCAGTGTTTCTTTATTGCAGTTATCATGACATAAAGAATGCATAAGGCATTGCATATGACTTGTATTATAAGATTGACTAAATTGTCAAAGCAGTTTATGTATTCTAACATTAATCTTCTTTTTACAAATTTTGTCAACAGCTCTCTAGCAACAAGCAGACTGGAGTAAGTTCTGTTAATTAAATTATGATTTATTACATACTGCATATGAGCAAGATATTGATTTCAATGGAAAGTTGTGTTTTTAAACCATATTGTGGTAATTACTTACAGTATATGTTTTGTTAAAATGTGTGACCTCATAGAGAACGCAATAGATAGAAGGGAAATCTTCAATGCTTCCTTTTCTTTTTTCATGTTTTTCCAGAATAATGCATGTTGTCCACTAAAGCAATTAGGTCATGCAGATAAATTGACACTATCTGCAGTTGCAGTTATAAATAAATAGAAAAAACTTTAGATGTTCTGTACATAAAAACATTTATTCTGTTTACTTGCTGATATTGTTTTTTATGTGCTTTATAGGCAGGATGGAGTGATGCAGGCCAAGACCAGAGCAGCAATCAACAAAGCCAGGCCAGTGCTCAGCAGAGTGGTGCCAGCGGTCAAACTCAAACCGGCAGCCAGCAGAGCAACAAGACCTGTGGTCAAACCCAAACTGGCAGCCAGCAGAGCAGTGGCCAGACCAGCGGTCAAACTCAAACCAGCAGCCAGCAGAGCAGTGGCCAGACCAGTGGTCAAACTCAAACCAGCAGCCAGCAGACCAGTGGCCAGACCAGCGGTCAAACCCGAACCAGCAGCCAGCAGAGCAGTGGCCAGACCAGTGGTCAAACTCAAACCAGCAGCCAGCAGACCAGTGGCCAGACCAGTGGTCAAACCAGAACCAGCAGCCAGCAGAGCAGTGGCCAGACCAGCGGTCAAACTCAAACCAGCAGCCAGCAGAGCAGTGGCCAAACCAGCGGTCAAACTCAAACCAGCAGCGCAGCAGAGCAGTGGCAAGGCCAGTGGTCAAACCCAAACCAGTGGTCAGCAGAACAGTAGCCAGACCAGTGGTCAAACCCAAACCAGTGGTAAGCAGAGCAGTGGCCAGACCAGTGGTCAAACCCAAGCCAGTGGTCAGCAGAGCAGTAGCCTGACCAGTGGTAAGCAGAGCATTAGCCAAACAAGTGGTCAGCAAAGCCAGACCAGCGGGCAAACCCAAACCAGTGGTCAGAATCAGACTAGTGGGCAAACCCAAACCAGTGGTCAGCAGAATCAGACCAGTGGGCAAACCCAAACCAGTGGTAAGCAGAGTCAGGCCAGTGGGCAAACCCAAACCAGTGGTCAGCAGAATCAGACCAGTGGACAAACCCAAACCAGTGGTCAGCAGAATCAGGCCAGTGGGCAAACCCAAACCAGTGGTAAGCAAAGCCAGACCAGTGGCCAGCAAACTGGTGGATCTCAACAAGTAGGTGGAAGCTCCTGCAGTAGCAGCAGCAGCAGCAGCAGCGGCAGCCGACAGAACCAGGCTGGAGGTCAGCAGACTCAGGGCAGCAGCGGAAGTCAACAGGGAAGTCAGGACCAGTCATCTTCTTATTACTTTAGGCAAGGAAGAGATAAGCAGCAGTAAACCTGATCGATAATGAAATCTCTGTATTAATCTACTGTTCGTTATTCTTCTTCCTGTATAACCTCTAGAATTAGTAGAATTAGAAGCAAATCACAAAAATAAAATCATGTTATCTCAGCAGCTACATTGTTTTCAATGTGTATTTCTTTCTATAATAATCTAATAGAATTGTTTATCACAATACATTATATGCAATTGAAGAATTTTTCAAAAAACCTAACAATTATATGACCATGACTACATCTAGAGTGATTAATGAAGATTACAGTAGATCTAAAATATTTAAGAATCTGACAAAAGATAGATATAAGTATACAGTTGCCAGGCAAATAATTTTATACCAGTTCTGGGGAACCAGGTGATAACCAAGGATTCCCTCATTTTGGAGGAGTTTCCTTTCACTTCCTATTTTTGCTGTGGGTAAGGAAGTGAAGGGAAGACTCCCCATTGGGATACAGATGACAAAAATAAAACTGACAGGGGTTATAACCCCTCTTACTCTATCCAAAATAGAAAAACAGGTTTTGCCTTTAGTTCCACTGTAATCTTCAACTCCTCAAACAGCCAGTCTGGGTTATGGGAAAAATGTACCGGTATTTATTTATTTCAGGTACTTGTTTCCATATACCAATATACCAATAAGCTATAAACGTTTAGCAAAACAGGCCAACTCTGATATTTATATATAACAGCAGATAATGTGTACAGCGCTGGATTATATTATGGAAAAGTGCAATGCTAGTCATTTAATTTCTTACAAAAATTAACGGTCTATGTGCAACTATATCAGGATAAAAGATTTGCATGGATGGCATCCTTAAAGTTTTACTAAACCCAGGCCTTGCATTCACTATATCTGGTCTCCCACAGTACACAGAACATGGAAGTGCAATTATTTTAGTAAATATAAACTGCTAAATATCTTTTCTCATCAGAAGGTAGAGCAATCTTGTGTCTTCTATCAGTGTTCAACCAAGCACTAGCTAAAGTTTGTAGGAGGAGTTTTTCTTTCTCCTCTAGGAGGATACAAAACCCCTGACCTTTGTCTGACCAGTGCTGATTGGCCCGGTGCTAATCACATGCACTCTCCCAAGAAAAAAACCTCCATGGCAATACACACCAAACTGAGCATGTGCAAATACCTACGGTTCAGTCTGTCTTATCAGGAGTTAAGAGATGGTTGCTTGAAAAATGGGAGGATCAGAGAAGACAGGATCAAACAGCCTTTTTACACAATGCAGAGGATTAACCCCTTAGGTTCTACAGTGAGTTTAACAAGCATGCTTTACTGCATATACAAGCTGATTTTACTGTTGTGGGTTTAGTAACTCTTTACTTGGGGATCAAAATGTAGCACATTAGGAAAAAGGCAGAACCACCTTATGTCCCAGAGTCAGGTGATGGAATGCTTGTTTCAGCACTCAATGGTGATATCTGACTGATGCACATAGAAGAGAATGGGAACAACCTATCCCCACTTCCTGTTTTGGCCATGTGATAATAAAATCACATGACGTCATGCCACAAGAGAAGTGTGTGATAGACCTTCATTGCTCTGAGGTGCTTAAGTAGGGGTAGCAGTGATGTCAGAATTAGTAGGCAGTGATGTGAAGTAGAAATACACATGCTGTTGTGACTGCTGCATGTACAGTACATGAGCAATGTGAAAACAGCTTCCTTGACATAAGAGGTCTTCCACTGCAGGAAAGTTGTCACTAAATTAGCATAAAGCATGATGACCGTAACATATTATTGAGGGCCCAATTTATCACATAGTTGGTAAAGTTAACAAAAGACATATGTCCATCCAGTTCAACCTACCTGGGGAGTGCCATATTTTCAGCACTCTAATATTACAAAAATTCTTCCGCAATCTACGGTCAAACCTCATTTCTTCTGACCTTTAAAGTTTGGTTAAATGTTTTCTTTGGGAACCTTAAAGTGGTTGTAAAGCTCAGACATAGTTACAAAGTTAGTCTGACTGAAAAAAGACAAAAGTCCATCCCGTTCAACCATAAAAAGAGAACTATAATCCTATACCCACAGTTGATACAGAGGAAGGCTAAAAACCCAGCATAGCACGATGGAACTTCCTTCCTGATCCCCCAAGAGGCAATCCGATATTCCCTGGATCAACTTTACCTATAAATAGTAACCAGTTATATTCTGTGTATCCAAAAAAGAATCCAGGCATTTTTAAAGCAATCCACTGAGCTGGTCAGAACCAACTCTTGAGGGAGTCTATTTGACATTTTCACAGCTCTTACTGTGAAGAAACATTTCTGTGTTTGGAGATTACATTTCTTTTCCTCCAGACATAAACAGTTCCCTTCTTCTCCTCTGTGATGACCTCAGGGTGAATAGCTCTACACCAAGTTCACTATATGAACCACTGATGTATTTATACATGTTGATCATATCCCCCCTTAATCTCCTCTTCTCAAGAGAGAATAAATTCAGTTCCTCTAATCTTTCCTCATAGCTGATCTCCTCCATGCCTCTTATCAGTTTGGTTGCCCTTCTCTGTACTTTCTCCAGTTCCCCAATGTTCTTTTTGTGAATTGGTGCCCAAAATTGAACTACATATTCCAGATGAGGTCTTACTAATGATTTGTACTGAGGTAATATGATATCTCTCTTTGGAGTCTATACCTCTTTTAATACAAGAGAGGATTTTGCTCACTTTAGAAACCGCAGCTTGGCATTGCATGCCATTATTAAGCTTGTGATCTACCAGAACTCCCAGATCCTTCTCCACCATTGATTCCCCCAGTTGTACCCCCCCTAGTATGTATGATGCATGCATATTCTTAGCCCCCAAGTGCATAACCTTACATTTATCAACATTAAACCTCAGTTGCCACATAGTTGCCCAATTAAACAGAGCATTGATGTCAGCTTGTAAGTTGAAGACATCCTGTAAGGACGTTATTCCACTGCACAGCTTGGTGTCATCTGCAAAGACTGAAATGGTATTTTCAATCCCAGACCCTATATTGTTTATAAACATATTCAAAAGTAAGGGTCCCAACACTGAACCTTGGGATACACCCCTGACAACCCTAGACCATTCAGAGTATGAATCATTAACCACTACTCTCTCAATACCATCTTTTAGCCAGTTTTCTATCCATTTACATACAGATTTTTCCAAGCTGGTAGACTTAACCTTATACATTAGCCGTGTGTGGGGAACTGTGTCAAACGTGTGTCAAACGTTTGCAAAATCCAAGTATACCACGTCCACCACCATCCCTCTGTGTAAGTATACCACGTCCACCACCACCCCTCTGTCCAAGTATACCACGTCCACCACCATCCCTCTGTCCAAGTATACCACATCCACTACCATCCCTCTGTCCAAGTATACCACGTCCACCGCCACCCCTCTGTCCAAGTATACCACGTCCACCGCCATCCCTCTGTCCAAGTATACCACGTCCACCACCACCCCTCTGTCCAAGTATACCACGTCCACCACCATCCCTCTGTCCAAGTATACCAAGTCCACTGCCATCCCTCTGTCCAAGTATACCACGTCCACCGCCACCCCTCTGTCCAAGTATACCACGTCCACCACCACCCCTCTGTCCCAGTATACCACGTCCACCACCACCCCTCTGTCCAAGTATACCACGTCCACCGTCACCCCTCTGTCCAAGTATACCACGTCCACCGCCATCCCTCTGTCCAAGTATACCACGTCCACCACCACCCCTCTGTCCAAGTATACCACGTCCACCACCACCCCTCTGTCCAAGTATACCACGTCCACCGTCACCCCTCTGTCCAAGTATACCACGTCCACCGCCACCCCTCTGTCCAAGTATACCACGTCCACCACCACCCCTCTGTCCAAGTATATCACGTCCACAACACCCCTCTGTCCAAGGTTTTGCTCACCTTATAAAAAGAAATCAGATTTGTTTGACAACTTCTCTCTTTCATGAATCCATGCTGTCTGTTGCTTAAAATATTTTTTTTTACAGCAAGAACTCATCTATGTGGTCTTTTATTAAACTCTCCAGTATCTTCCCAACTATAGAAGTTAAACTAACAGGTCTATAATTATTTCGTAAAACATTTTGACCCCTTTTTATATATTGACACCACATTGGCCTTATGCCAATCCAGTGGTACTATGCCAGTCATTAAAAAGTCCCTAAAAATTAGAAACAATGGCTTAGAAATGACAGAGCTCAATTCTTGA